TTTAATACCCCCCCCCCCCCCCCCTAAAAAAAAAGAAGAAAAAGAAAAAAAAAACGAATGTATTACTGAGTACTTTTGTAAATTGAACCCGAAAAAAACCCGACTTTCAAAAAGTTTCCACAAATAAAAAAAAATTCTCCCCGATGATTAGCTTGAAAACTAGCACCCAATTTTTACCCCCGAATAAAAAAAAATAATAATAATAAAACCCCAAAACGAGCAACTCTATGTATAATACGTACGTCCCTCACGTTACAAACATTTTTTTTAATTAAACAATCGCAATTAGCTCTTTTTTTTATTTCAAACAATTGTTAGGAAATCAAACCCGGATCTAGTTTATACTCACTGTATGAAAAAAAGAAATTAATTACTTTTAACACACCTCTTGATTCTTTTTTTTTTAGTACAGCGTTTTAGTTTGAGCTAGAATGTTCGCTTTATTGTGATTTTCGTATGGTCTGTTTTTCACGACTCATGCGGAGCTTACCTGTGCATATTCATTGTCCTTTGCAGCATGCTGAAGATAGAAACAAAAATTGAAGTTTGCTTGTCTTGCATTTTTCATTTATTGAAGTAACCACAAAAAAAAAATACCAACGGTTAGAAAAGAAGTATACACGTATAAGATAATATATATTGAATGGGCAATATACATCTTAAATTTAAATCTAGTGTACTTTTTGTCATGGAGTTGCGTACTGATGGTATATTGTCACGGGTGGTGACCAAAAAAACAGGAAATAAAAAGGAAGAAATAAACGTTTAATGTGGCGAACTTGTGCCGAAAATAAAAGGGTACAAATAATAATAACAGAGCGTCGCGGGCGTCGAAGTCGGCGAGACAGCAGAGTCGAGCGCTGGGGCGAAACTGACTCGACCAGGTCGCGGGCGGCCTCTTATCTTGAGTGCGTCACAATCTCGAAGATTCGGCGTATAAGGCTCGAGCGTCACGCGCGCGGGGCGAGAATGAACACGCACTTTCTAGAACAAGAGAGCAGGATTAAAGGGCGTAAGTTACATCCGGAACAAGAATAAACGAGAGCTTTCTAGAGCACCGTGACCGAGCGTTGCTTTCCCGGCACCTGCGCGCGGCATTACTCCCCCCTTAAAAAGTACATCGCCTCGATGCAAAACAAAACAAAACAAAGCACATAAAAAGAACGACAAACTAAAGAGTCATTTGAAACACAAAAGATCCACAGTCCTATCGAGCGTAGTACGGCTTCAAGAGCTCGACGTGGACGACTTCAGGTCGTGATGGGCGGCGTGATGATGTTCTTGTTCCGTCGGGCATCACCTCGTAGTTCAGCTCGCCGAGGCGACGAAGTACCTTGTATGATCCAAAGTACCGTTTCAGCAGTTTCTCACTGAGGCCGCGGCGACGGATGGGCGTCCACACCCACACCCTGTCTCCGGGCTGCAAGTGAACGTCCCTGCGTCGAAGGTTGTAGCGGCCCGCGTCGACGCGTTGCTGGTCTTGAATCATGAGTCGGGCGAGCTGGCGGGCTTCTTCGGCGCGTTGAGCAACCGCCTGGGCGTCGTCGCTCTCATTGTCAGATGACTCATGGGGCAGCATTGCGTCCAGCATGGTCGTTACCTTCCGACCATGTACCAGCTGGAAAGGGGTGAATCCAGTGGTCTCCTGAACGGCCGTATCGTAGGCGAACGTGACGTAGGGTAACACCTCGTCGCACGTCTTGTGCTCTACGTCGACGTACATAGAGATCATTTTGGCGATTGTCTTGTTGAGTCGCTTGGTCAGCCCGTTGGTCTGCGGGTGGTATGCAGTGGTTCGACGATGGCCGGTGCCACTGAGACGAAGGATCTCTTGCGTCAGCTGGGCCATGAACGAAGATCCACGGTCTGTGATGAGGACTTCAGGGGCGCCGTGCCGGAGGACAATGGACTCAATGAAAAACTTGGCGACTTCAACAGCCGTGCCTGCTGGAAGGGCTTTCGTCTCGGCGTACCGTGTGAGATAATCGGTGGCGACGATAATCCAGCGGTTTCCCGACGTTGACGATGGGAAAGGGCCAAGTAAATCCATTCCGATCTGCTGGAACGGCATAGACGGGGGAGAAATCGGATGCAGAAGTCCTGATGGCTTCGTTGGCGGTTTGTTGCGTCGCTGACACTCGTGGCATGATCGAATGTATAGGTGAACGGTCTTCGGTAGCCTCGGCCAGTAGTACTTTTCTCGAATCCTGGCGAGCGTCCTGCTGTAGCCAAGGTGTCCAGCCCTTGGGTCGTCATGGCATCCTTGGAATATTTCGTCTCGAAGGCTGACTGGAACAACCAACAGCCATGCTGTGTTGTTGCTGACGAAGTTCTCCTTGTACAGCACCCCTCGCCGCATGGAGAATGTATGCAGGATTCTTAAGAAAGCACGGGGAACCGAACTCGCTTGTCCCTCTAAGTGCTCGATGAGCGCTCGCAGTTCAGGGTCGTCTCGTTGGAGTGCTGCCATGTCGCTGACGTCCAAAGCGCCGAGGAAACACTCATCGTCGTCGTCTTCGATACAGGCAGGACAGGCCTCGACAGGAGCTCTTGACAGACTGTCGGCGTAGGGCTGCGCTGCACGGACATGCGGTACCCCGCACCTCCACCAAAATGTCACAAGTGGTGACCGAAAAAACAGGAAATAAAAAGAAAGAAATAAACGTTTAATCTGGCGAACTTGTGCCAAAATTAAAAGGGTACAAAAGATAATAACAGAGCGTCGCGGGCGTCGAAGTCGGCGAGACAGCAGAGTCGACCGCTGGGGCGAAACTGACTCGACAAGGTCGCAGCGGCCTCTCATCTTGAGTCAGTCACAATCTCGAAGATTCGGCGTAGAAGGCTCGAGCGTCGCGCGCGCGGGGCGAGAATGAACACGCACTTTCTAGAACAAGAGAGCAGGATTAAAGGGCGGAAGTTACATCCGGAACAAGAATAAACGAGAACTTTCTAGAGCACCGTGACCGAGCTTTGCTTTCCCGGCACCTGCGCGCGGCAATATAACATGCATCTGCCACCGACCCAGTGAAACCACTATAATGTCTACGTGTTTACGATTAAAGTCTAAATCTAGGAGGTTGCATGGCAAACCAACGACGCACGTGGCGCTCGCACAAATGACTGATTAATAATCTTGACTACAAAGGTGATATATAGCCTGTTTTTACTTACCTCCTATTTAGGTATCCTTCTACGTAAAACCTAAACCAAGGTTAGACTGCTCCTTCTCCTTCTGAGATTACCGACACATCGACCTAGATTCAATCTGGTCGACTGGGATCGCGTTGGCCGGCGCTTTACCTTGGAGCTACTTAGACGGTTGTGAAAAGTATGAAAGTGCGTTTTAGTGTTGTGACAGACAAGAAAGAGAGGCCCTGGCTGACTGCGCTCCAATGACTCGGGCTTCTCGAATAGTCTTGTGCCGGACCGGCCTGGCGGCCTGCACAGTAATCACTCTTCCCTCCTTCAAATCGTCCCATTAAACCGACGCACCGTCCTTTAACTGGGTGGGAATGCTATCGCTTCCCAGCCTCTCGAACGCGTTTCGTTAGGAGATATATACGCAGATTCACCCCTAAGCTGGTACTGCGGTGGAAGCTAAGTACACCCTGAACCAGTCATGGGTTCGCCCCGTGATCACGCTCCCGTCTATAGGCAAGCGCTGTGAGCGGGGTCTGGTGATGGAAGGGTGCCACTGATTGGACCGGCGAGTGCCTAACTCCCACCACAGTGTCAGCTTGGGGGTAAAAGGACCGTAGAGCTGCACAGCGCGAGAACTGCCCAAGGCATTATGTCACATCAAATATGCACCACCCCGATTCCCGGCGCAGTTATGCCACTGGTAACACATCGCAAAAGACACTCACAAGTATTCATGGGACCTCTGAGGTTGAGATCAGTGATTGAATTTAAAATTACAATGAACACCCCAGCCAATTCAACCACCGAAACTTCACTGGCCTACTTGCAAACACTGTCTTACTTGGGTGAACACTGCACTCAGGTGCTTTGATAACCACTGGGAAAGCATAAACTCTCGGATCCGTGTCAAGGCAGCATTCACGAACGAGTTTGGAAGGCCACAGCACCGATAAGAATGAATGCGATTTCAAATTGCGTCGGCCCCTATCGCTCACCTTTAGATACGTCAATCGCAGCCATTGACAACGTCATTCGTTTGTGTGGTCCAGTTGACGATGAAACATCCGAAGTAGAAAGAACGATGTTAGAAACAAAAACATATCGCAAGAGCTATTTTTTGTTGTGGCGCGGAAATCACTTGCCGCAATCAAGCGCCTGATCACCGCCTATCGTCTATACGGACGGATCAAGAGCGCTCCAATGTAGATTGAATCTTATGTCCGTGACATCTCGAGGTTTCGCAAGCTGCGTCGTCAAACACCCTTTTCGTTACACTAGACCCCAAAATTGCACGTGGGTCTGTTCTGTCGAACCGCTACAGACATTTATTGACGCCCTTCCGGCAACTATCATCGACATCGACAGCCAAGTCATGCATTAAAAGTAAACTACACATTGCTTTGAATGCGTTCGCCTTAGCCGTTTCTTCATGTGCCGAAAATAATCCCTGGAGTAGGAAACAAAGGACAAACACAAACTGTGTTTGTCCTATGTCCCTCTTGTTCCCCTTCTCCACACTCTAAAACCGGTTTCTCATAAAAAACGCTGTCCCTCTGATTTTAGAGGGGACACCAATGCTTTCAGGGGGACAGCTCTTTTTAAGAGGGAAATTGAAAAATAAAATAGCAACATCTAGAGGGACACCAACATATTAAGAGAGACCAAGGAAATCGTTTCGTTAGTCCCTCTGAACAGGAAAGACCGACAGAAAGATTCACGGGTCTCCCTTCATATTAAAAGGGGACTGGTCCCTCTTAACTGGACCGATGTAGTTCGGTCAGGAGGAGAGGGGCAGGCGCACTAATCCACGGCAAAGAGTTCGGACGGTGCTAAGGCTTCGCGCCAATTCACGGAGAGCTGGAAACGGTCGTTGCCGGAGGGTCGCAAGCGTCATGCTGCTCGTTTGACTTCCTTCGGGTGAGTAATCCTGTCATATTGACGGTTTTGTTTTGGGTGCATTGCGGGTGGGAATAACGAGCCATCAATATTTTCACGCTGGCTGTGAGATCTACGAGCTCTGCATGTAGAGTAAGAGTGTTCAGCTGCAGTCCGCGGACGCGGTCGCTTCCTGGATCTGCTCGTTCAGCTACGACAAAGCGTCGATAATCGTTTGCCCTGCCGTGAGCCGCAGGGCTGTCTTTAGCACAAAACACTTTTAGCGGGTTAGGGTGCCCCAATGTGTACGCGTCTGTCTTAGGCTGGTGATATCAGACCATTTTCTGCCCGACGCTTTTGTCTACTTTTTAATTTCGGACGCGCGTTCGTTCTTCTCCCAGCTCGAGCTGCTAGCTTTGGCACTGCTACGCCGGCATTTCATTACCGGCAATTTCCTTGTATTTCATCCGTGAGCGTACACTGTCGGCATCGAGTACTTCAAAGGATGGCATCACCTTCCCTAAGGCAAAGCCAGCATAAAGGCACCCTAGCTGGGGCAGTCAGTGTTTGTAAGCTTGGCTCGCCGATTTCTTTCTCGGTGTGCACTCTAAATGATTGAGGTTGACCGCCCGAGAGCGTTGATTGACGGAAACAATGTTGGCGATTTTGCGTTTGTTTGCCTTCAGAGTTCATTACAGCAATTTGCACTGCAACGTTATGTTGTAGACATCGTTAGCGTTACAGTGATTATGAACTTCTTTCTCAAGTGGGAGGCAAGCAAAAACCCATAATGTGTGTGTATGTATGTGAAAAGGGGGGGTGGGAAGGGTGGACAAACTTCTAATTCAAACCCCACAAAAAAAAAGAAGAGAAAAAGGTTTTTTTTTTTTCTTTGCGCGTTGCGTCGGCGTCGCGGCGTCTGCATGCGGAAAGAGGGGAAAAATGCCGCGATAACCCTGGAGTACATTTTTTTTTTAATATTTTTTTGCGGTACTTTTTTGTTTGTTATACTTTGACGGTCGCGCCAGCAAAGCTACCGGCTTTTTTTTTTTTTTTTTTTTTCGGCGCCGATCATGGTTTTTTTTTGGAGATTTTATTTATGATGTTTATTATGCTCCTTGTTTTCTGTAGCTGGTTGAATATCTTTTTTTCTGTGTGGTACATCTGCGAAAAATATATAAACAGGAGTTTGCTTTTTCTTCTTTTTTTTTTTTTCTTAGGCGCTTTAGCGCTAGGTTGAGTATGGGCGTTAAATGACTGACCGTTAAAAATATTGTTTTCAGAGTGAGGCAATGGCAACAAACGTCGACATGAAGGGAATGAGACGGGGGTTCTGCTCGGATTTCTCGTGTACAGAGCTCTACCGGGACCCTCTGCACGGTGGAACGCACCACCCTGAGTGATGAGTCTACTGCGGCCACTCGCACACGGCCCACAATGAACTCGGTGATTATGAACTTTTTGTATTCTGGTATGTAGGTAGGCTTGTATTCTGGTATGTAAGTAGGCTCTATTTACGTTCTGTTTGCATATGCGTTGCTTCTGAAAAAAAGAATAAATGAATGACTTGCGCCCAAATGTCAACAGAAATATATATTTTTTTATTTGATTATGTTGCTTTTTAAAACATGCATTAGATCTCTTCTGCAGCCTCGAGCCGCAAATGCAATCCCTGCTTTCCAAAGCACATGGGACTTCTAATGTTCATCTACTTCTAAATGCGTTTTCGTTTTGTCTTGGTAATACAAAAACGATTCGCGTAAATTACTTAAAACAGCAGTCTATTCTCGTACCAAATATTAATAGTAGCAGAAGTTACGTCATAAGCTAATGTCACTCGCTATTTCATCGCATACAGATTGGGCTCCGAATCTTTGAACTGTTTGCACTTTAATTTCGCATTTGTTTCCTACCGCCTGCTTGAAAACAGGTGAAAGCGCTTCATTACCTTCATTCTAATTCCAACTCTCTGTATATAAAGGAGAACAATATGGTATTTCATTCAACTAAAGGTGGATGCACAGCTTCGGTTCCATAACACGATCGTCACCATGCTGAAGAAACTGGAGGAGATAAAAGGGGCCTTCTGCGGAAACAACCCAACAACATTCTTGAACATAAAGACCATTCTCCGCTCTCGATTGGCCAGAAGTCCTCTCATCGCCTATGGTATGTGAAAAAGCGAATGCAAAAATAGAAATGTAAGTTTGACGCTGACGCTTTTTTTTCTTAACAATTGCTGCTTGCAGGACGATTTTATCCCTGACGAAAAAGTTCCAGGACCCAAGACTTTCTTCGGTTCGGAGAAACGGATCGTTTCTGGGAACTGGTCAGTGAAACTCTCCGCTAGCACGACCATTGATGGGGCACCAGTCATGTACTTATGGGTGTATTACATAACGGGACTCTCCTACCCTGTGGCATGTGGACAAACCCTTGGACTCCTCTAAATTCTGCTCGTTGAAAATAAATTCTTTCGATTCAGTTTATGTCGGAGAAGCTCAGAAAATTGCTTATGGCCGTTCGAAAACAACAGGAATTCCGAGCTTCTGCTGATGACAAGAGACGCCGAATAATTCGTTTTTAATGCTATGAAGTAGGTAACTACGCTCCAAAAAAAAGCACAGGAATCTACTTTCCCGAACAGCACTTGGAAAGTCAATCACCGTAACTCACGGAAGCAGCTCAGCGAATCACGATGCCGAAACATAAGATTAGACAAAAAAACCCAGTGTGAGTTGTGACATTAAGCAATGCAAAACGTCACGCTTGTTGTGGTTAGTGTCGCAACTCATTTTCTTGGTATAATCATATGTTTCGGCATCTACATTCGCTGAGCTGCCTCCGAGAGTTATGGTGATTGTCTTTCCAAGTGTTGTGCGGGAAAGTAGACGCACGGGCTTTTTTTAGAATGTACTTATTTTTTGTGTTATCCGCTAAAAAAAAAGTTTTTTTTTTTTTTTTTTTTTCAGCACGATTGTATTTTTATTGTTTATGATAGGCAAAAGGAGTCACTTTGCAGCACGAACTATTTTGTGTGATTGTTTCCAAGAAACGCCAATTTCTGGCGTCGTTCTAACGTCTTTTTTATCCGTAAAAGCTACCAGAACATCGTTATAAAATTACTATTTTGATAAAGACATTTCAAAATATTTTCTTGTGTCATGGCAAATAAAACACGTGTTTACTCTTAAAGATTGTTACTGTTTTATTAACACATTGATTCCGCTTATCAAACATAATATACAGATCAAATTTCAGTTCTGTTACGCAGCACAGAATAACTTTGGTTAAACAATATCAGCGAAAGTGCGAGAACTGCATCACTGCAGTGCAGCATGTCAGCTGACAGTCCAAACACGAAGGAGCAGAAATTCTACGATACAATAAAAGAGATAACCTAAAGTCGGGGTCACGCTGCTTTTACATCATACAAAATACATTCTGCAGACATGTTCCGGAACGAGTCACCGCGACATCCGTGCTTTGTATGCCACGTGACAAAGCAACCTCTTGATTCGGTTGCCTCGTGGCGTACGAGGCTCGGATGTCGCGGCGACTCATTCCGGAACATGTCTGCAGAATGTATTTTGTATGATGTATAAGCAGCGTGACCGCGACTCAAGGGGGAGTATACTCCTGCATTTTAAGCGGGCCACCGTCCCTCCATAATTAAGGGGGAAAATATCTAAAAAATGTCCCTCTTACCAAGAGACTCTGACGTCAAATTTAAGGGAGACGCCGTATCGCCTACTTTAAGAGGGCTGGTGTCTCACTTAATTAAGAGGGAGAATCTCCATGTAATATTAAGAGGTCTGTCGCCCCGCTTAAAGTTAAGTGGGAAAAAATCGAAGAAATGTCCCTCTTGCTAAGTGGGACAGGGCTTAGAGTGCAGGGATTATTTTCGTCATTCTTGTCCAGCTCGCTTGCACCTTTGCATTTAATTGCATTATAATCTTCATGTGCGCCAGTCGCACACGATTCGCCTCCCCTTTTGTTTACATATAGTTTCCTTATAATTACTCAGGTGCGACGTTTTCTTAGTATCTAGAAATAACAAAGAACGAATAACTGGAGAATACAACATCAACATTGTTCTGTTTTAGTGTCAATAACACGAACACGACCTCTCTTGCTGTCACCGACGACTCAACAAATTAGCCTGTTCAATTCATAGCCGCCGCGTAAACTACTCAGCCGACTTTTCTTAGAGCCGCACCATTTTGTCCATAAACTTTCTTGTAACAGCTAATAATGCACCTTTGCCGACAATTCTCACCTTTTCGTAAGGTTCCACCGCTTCCCGGCTTCTCCAGCTCTGTGGCTTTATCCCAAACGAACAACGGCCCCTTGCGCCCCCATGCCGCCCTTCCGTGCAACCGTCAGGCACACCCGCTTCTGAAAGTCCCTTACCTTTAAACTAAATAGGGCGGCTTGCAGCTAAACTTCACGTCAGGCGACATATTTGTAATTACCCGAGCAGCCTTCTTATAAATGACTGATCTCAATTGCAATCGAAGGTAAAAAAAGTTGGCTTTATAACCTTCGTTGGCAGTGAAGCCACGAAATAGTCATAAATCTTCAATTGCCGCAACCAGATTTTCGTAAAAGCAGTGTTCGCTCCGCCATTACGGCACTTCATAAGAATGGAGAATGTTCCTTTGGTCCCTTCTTTTCAAAGCTCCATGCTTTTGATCGCCATCGTGATCATCAAATATGCTATGTTCACATTCATGAGTTCATAATGTTTAGACATCGACGATCTGATTTATTTTGTTCACATTTTCTTGCTCCAAGATTCGTTTCTTTTTTGCATTCTTATCGACTAATGGCTTTATAATATTGACTGTGAAGCATAAATTCGCTGTCGAGACAGCTACACCATGCTTTCTTAAGCATGCCAGAGACGCCTAAGTGCTTCTTACTAGTTCGCCGACAGTACACTCAAAGAAATTAGGAGCCTCTACGTTCCCACAAAGTACTCGTCAGAGAAATAATGCGATCTAATCACGATTCAAAAAGCGAATGTTCAGCCTTAAAAATGTAGTGTGCGCTGCGGTACTGATCCTCATCTGTCCCCATGGTCAGTGCCCCTGCATTGAGCATGGTAATATAGCGAATTCAATGCCACCCGCTCTATAGTCGTCCAATCACTTTCCCATCGCCATTAAGGGGTTCAGAAATAGTTTGATATACCGAAGCTGGCCGTCAGTAAAATTGAGTACAGTAGCAGGGTCTCCGCTGTAGAATTATTCACTGATGTTCACTGCAGCTCATATTCGTCTGCTTTGAAGTTAAAGAACAAAATTAATTATTTTGAGGTACCAAGGAATCCTGCAGACCCTCCAGCATATGTTATGAAGACGAATAATCGAATACTACTATGAAAGATGTCTAAGTATGAACTGTCCCGCGCTGCCCAGTGTGGGCCACGGAAGCCCTCGGATAAAACAATTGTGAACTTCGATGATAACGATGAACACAACACTACACTATGCTCACTACTTCCGTGCAATTTGATAAAGATATATTGTGATATAAAGGAACCTTTAGTTGTTTGACACGTGCGAAAATGTTATGTACGCACCGGAATTTGATTTAGACATTCTAATGGCTTTCGCATTTGTGTTAATTCTCCCAGACTCCCACATTTAACATCTATGCTACCAGATGCGTACAAGTCATAGTCAAAACTTCTTGACCGGCATGGATGGAGAACGAATGGACTCGAACCATGCCGCACAATTTAGCGGGGATAAACTAGGACGGACGGATGGACACAACTCTGGGTTTGGGTGTTTCCCTGAAAAACCGTATTATCCTTTAGAATAGTGTGTGGCTGAATGGTTGTTTGTTGGAATCATTTCCCGGAAAGGGTAATCTATACACTTTTTGGGAGTCCCAAACCTATTTAGTTTTATTTAAATATATGCATCTTTTGAAAGCATCTGCAGTTCTTGACTCTCGACCCCAGGTGTGTCTTCCTTGTGCGTGTAATCATCTGATGAAGTCGGCTGAAAGAAAGGTGGGAACATATATCTTGAATAAATATGCGCCTGATTACAATGCGGAATTAACGGAGCCAACCAGAAATATTACGTAAATAATTTATTGTTCAACATTAATGATTTGGCTATTTTAAGTACGTAGTAGCATGACTGATTCGAACATGCACTTGTAAAAAAAACACGGGCAAATATTGAGAAGAAAACTAACACTGAAAGCAAAATGTAGAATATACCGCAATGGGAAGTCAAATAGCAAGCAGATATATTTATTTTTATATACTGAGATTTTCGTCAGTTCTACTTGTGACCGCAAAATAAGGATATTTATTGCCGTGTTACTGCACAATAACACGATAAAAATTTTATGAAGGAAGTTTTGGTTAAGCTGTAGTTACAACCTACCATAGCAGTATGTGTCGGCGAGATTAGGTTCATCCATCGCCAAAGTCGCAGAAAGACGTCACTTGTCAAATGTAAATGGTTGGAACAAGTCGTTAGTCCACCTCGACAGAAAAAAATCAATATTTAAAACAGGAGGTTAGTAAGCAAGGTTTGACTGCGTCATAATGCCACTTCTAAAAATCACACTTCTCTGTCGTCATTTCTAAGTTGCAACTAATAATTTATTGTATTCGCTGAAACATTTGGGGACCAAAAACGAAAGCTTTGAAACTAGGAATCTTTAAATAATTTATAACAAAAATGTTCCTAATGAGATCAATAAGATATTGCTGTTATGTTTTTTTTACATATTGAAGTGTTTTTTAAGTACACAGCGGTACTTCAGTGTTGACGAGTGATGCGTATTTTCATTGTAACTGAAGTGTTATCGCCAGAAGTGCCTTAACTTGGAAAAAACGTTCTTAGAGAATTATTAATTAGAATTAAACAGTTGGCATAAACAAAAGAAAACAGCTAGGTTCGTTGCGAAACGTTAAAATTACAAGCAAACCGTCAGTGCCCTTAAATGTCAATCAGACTGGGAATCATTAAACGCTAGAAGACGCCGTCTTCGCCAAAAATGTTTACACATTATATACCATAAGCAAGCTGAACTAGAGAAA